TATATATATATATATATATATATATATATATATATATATATCAGCTCTTTGCTTGGTCTTCCCCCCTTTTTCCTCCAAGCCTCTACCTGGGAGCTAGAGGGATCTGCACAAGATCTTTGCTGTCCCTAGAACTGCACACTTCTGGACCGAGATGTCTGATGCATTTCCAGGGATCTGCTGTAACCACCCTTCAAATTTGGGGGTCACTGCCCTGAGTGCCCAGGTTTTCTCCAGCTCTTCTCTGAGCTCCTGGTATTTCTTTAGTTTTTCATGTTCTTTTTTCCTTATGTTGCAGTTGCTTGGTATTGCTATATCAACCATGACAGGTTTTCTAATCTTTATTGTAAAGCTGATTCTTCTAGGGATATTTAAAACTGTCCTACAAAAGTACCTAGTTCATATGCCAAAGCAGTTACATTTTTTTTTTATCAATAAAACCAGCTGGCACATCCAGCATCCAGCAGACTGAGATGCTATAAGTGCTGAAACAAATTAAAACAGTTTTGAATGCATTCCCTTGTCATATTTATTATCACTATATTTAATGTAGCATGGCAAGCAAAAACTGGGCTCGGTTTCTCCATATTATTTAACGAAATTCGGTGGGGAAGACAGTTGTGTCTCATATATTGTCACATCTTTGTTGTGGTTTAGAGGACCCAAATGCAGAGGCAGAGAGGCTGGGGTGATTTCTTGTAGTTTAACGATGAAAGCAGTTAACAAAGTCAGGAATCCAAAAATCCAACTAAAAATATAACACAGACCAGAATCATGGAGACATCAAGGGAAAACACCCACAAGGAGCCAGTGAGAGACAAGATGAGAAGATTACAGTAACGACAGGACCAGCAACAACAAGGTGTGACTGCAGAGGGAGGGTATATGTAGCTGACTGAGACAAAGGCAAGGCTAACGAGCTGACAAGGAGCAGGTGTGAGGAGACAACGAGGGAGCCAAGGGGAAAGGAACACACACGAGGGCAACAGAGGACAACAACAGAAAACCTGAGAACTAACATAAATCTAGAAACTACAACAAAATAGGAATTAAACCAATAAAACTAGGAAACATAGAGCAAAGTAGAGGATAACAGAACCAGAACCATGACATATACTCATTGTTGGTTTCAGGGTGAAAAATGAATGAAACCATTTAATGTTCTTATTGATTTACAGTATATGTTGGATTTTATTTTAAGCGATACAGAGATTTTATTGTAAGCTGTGAATGCAGGAGCAGTGCGCACATTGCCCAAGCAGAGCTTTAAGGGAAAATTGGCGCTCACAGTTAGTCATTAGATGCAGTTTATAACCAGATCAGCCATTGTCTCGGGGCACCCGGGCAGCTTGGGGCAATAGGAAATTGCTTGTTTTGCTTGCTTTGTTGCAAGAGGCTTGGGGTTGAGAAGAGTTTATCAGAGTTGAGTGCACGTGTGGGATTTTGAAATGTTGAATACATGTTTCACTGCATGCTTGGATTGGTTCTTGTGCTGTCAATCTAAAGGCACAAAATAAATAGTAGCATGGCTTTTTGTGTGGTGCGAAACACAGAACAAACCCCTCATGCCATCCATCAATACTAAAAAAAGGTAATAAACTACCTTATGTCAAAAATGATCAATGACTTATGACCTTATGACCTCGCCCCTCCCCCTTTGGCCCATTCCCCATCCTTCCAGGCCTCCCTGACTTTATGACTTAATTACTTTATGACTTCTGGAACCTTTCCATCTTTCTACACCATTTGATGCAACCTGCAGGTTGTTAGGAATCCATTTTGTGTTTTGTCTTTCGTTGGGCCTCCTTGCACACCTGCAGCTCGTGGGTCATCACCAGAGGAGGATTTGAGCAGCGGGCTGTCACTACGTCAACGCCAGAGTGTTTGCCAGTATTGGGTACTCTAGCCAAACTGAGATTAGCTGAGTCTAACCTTTAACTTTGTCTTTCTGAGTCTAACCTTGCTTTGTTCTCCGGCAGGAAGCCTTCCTGATCCACTGGATAAGCCTGGACCTTCTACCCCCCTGGAAGGATAAACTGAGTCACACCAAGCAAGGGGAAACCTCCACATCATCCGTTCAAGTCCTCTTCAGGAAAACCCATTGTCAATCCGCTCCATTACTCCTCTGGACCCAACGTTAGTCTGCACACTGCCCTCCAATGAGTTATTTTATGTCTGGATAAGCCCCCCCAAACTAGATCCAAAGATTAACCAACAGTTCCCCAAACGTGAGTGCCTCTCATGCAAATTACAAGCCTCAATCATTTTTCTTGTCATTGTGATCTCTCCTTCATAGTTATTTTAACAATACATAGACCAGTCCGATGAGGTTGAACAGTATTACCCAGCTGTATATCTCTCAGTCTGTGTTTTTGTAAACCACAATAAACCTGTTAACTTTTTCCCGTGGCTTCTGAGTGTGTTTCTGCATGTGGGTCAGATCCTTAAAGCCCATCATGACACAGGTGTTTGAC